CGAGGAGTTCCTCGCCTTGTCATTAACTACAAACCGTTAAATGATAAATTGAAATGGATTCGATATCCTATTCCGAATAAAAAAGATCTTTTAGACCGTCTCCAGGATGCCATAATTTTTTCCAAATTTGATTTAAAATCAGGATATTGGCAAATTGAAATTGCTGAACAGGATCGCTATGAAACAGCTTTTACAGTACCCTTTGGGCATTATGAGTGGAATGTTATGCCATTCGGCCTTAAGAATGCTCCTTCAGAATTCCAGCATATCATGAATGATATTTTTAATCCATTTACAGAATTCACTTTATCTTATATTGATGATGTTTTGATTTTTTCTCCATCAATTGATCAGCATATTAAACATCTTAATATTTTTAAGAATGTTATTATCCGAAATGGTTTAGTCCTTTCTGCACCAAAAATGCTATTGTTCCAAACCACCATCAGATATCTAGGACATAATATTTCTAATGGAAGTATTATTCCTATTAACAGAAGCATGGAGTTTGCCTCTAAATTTCCAGATGAAATTAAAGACAAAACTCAATTACAGAGATTTTTAGGTAGTCTTAATTATATTAGAGACTATTATCATAATCTATCTGCAGATGCTAACATTCTGTATTCCAGGTTAAGGAAGAATCCTCCACCATGGTCACCAGAACATACTTTAGCAGTCCAGAAAATTAAAGCTAAAGTCCAACAGTTACCTTGTCTTCATTTACCTAATCCTGAATGGAAGAAAATTGTTGAAACAGATGCTTCCAATGAAGGATTTGGTGGTATTTTAAAACAGTTTAATCCCAAAACTCAGAAAGAAGAACTTTTACGTTTTCATTCTGGGCATTGGAATCAAGTTGCTGTAAACTATCCGACCATTAAACAGGAATGTTTAGCCATTGTAAAATGTGTTATTAAATTCCAGGATGATTTATTAAACCAGCATTTTATCATCAGAGTTGATTGCTCTGCTGCACGACAGATATTTAAACAGGATGTTAAAAATCTTGTTTCTAAACAGATATTCGTAAGCTGGCAGGGTTATTTATCCAATTTTGATTTTGATATTGAATATATTAAAGGGGAAACTAACTCTTTGCCTGACTTTTTGACCCGTGAATATTTGCAGAAATCCGCAAATGACCAGTAGAGGCCACAGAGGTCGTGGTCGTGGCCGGGGCTCTAACCCCCGCTATGATCCATCAGAATATCCATCCCTCTCTCGAGGAGGTCAAACCAGTAATCCAACGGCTAAGGATGTTCTCCTTAGACCTGAAGATCCGTATACGCCAAACAGTATATCTGACGAAACTGTTCTTTGGATTGAACCATCTGATGAGCAGTGGATGTCTGATCCGTGGGAGATCAAATGCCGTTATCTCACCACCCAACAGTCCCCTCCTCATTTTGATCAATACAGATACATTTATGAACAGATAATGGTTGAAACTGAAGCTGCTGAAATCAAGCATACTCTGCATGATGCCAACAAGGCTGCCAGTCCTATTCAATTCAGTAAAATTGTTATCCGTAATATTATGCCCATTTCTACTTGGGGCATTCATCCGCACACCACACGGGATCTTGATCTCCGTAACAAACAGACCAAATATTCATACTGGGATTACATTGATGCTTTTACCCATGTATTCTATTACCAGAATCCGATCAAGAACCATTCTTGGTTTATCCGTATTACGACCGATGTTCTCAAAAATGATGTTCCTAATTGGTTCCTCATTTGGTGGGATAAGTTCGGTCTTTCCCTTGACATTTTACCAGACTCCGTCAGAACAGAATTCAATGACTGGCATGTAGCTTATGCTCGTGCCTATTCATATTTAAATAAAAACAGAGAATTGTCAATCAGTAAAGCTGTTGTCCATTTCTCAATCCGATTCAGTATTCCCTGGATTTGGAAATGGGACTTTGCTTGCGATTATCGGAATAAGGTTCCCCGTTTGAAAAGAATTTTCTTTGTCAAATGGTGGGATAAAATGGATCTTAAGGATCTTCTCCCGAAAATTCAACAGCATACTAAGGCTTGTTGGGATTCTGTCAAGCAACCTGCTTTACCAACACCCTCCTCTCCAGTCACAAATCCTTTTGTCCAGATGCAGAAGGAATTAAAACAAAAATTCCCAAACCTTTCAGATAATGAATTAATTCTCAAAAGTATGGATTATCTGAAAGAACAATTTCTCCAATCAGTTAACCCCAACGATGACGTCTCCATGAGGTCAGGTACCAGTCATACTCAATCCGAATCAGAGGCCGATCCAGCCGACCACGTGTTAGCAGGAGAGTCTCAATCTGAAGACGAGACGGAACCCACTCTTGGTGACTTTTCGGATTCCTTTACAGCTGCAGTTGCGGACAAGATGGCCCAAGACAAAAGCAATAAAGGAAAGGGCCCCGAGCTTTAGAGCGTCGGCACAACAGGACAATTTACTTTTCAGAAAGCAGATGCTCCATCAGTATCAAGGACAAGTTGTTCCCCGCTTCCGCCAAAGTTGAAGATAAGAAGATAGGTGTAATCTGTCGGTGCAATGGAAGATCTCCACCTGTCTTATGTAATAATGTAATCTTATCTTCTTTTGTCTATTTAAGGGATAGCCTTCACCCTTGTTGAGGCACTTAGAAATTTTCAGCTTTTCTTTTCTTTTGAATTTTCTGTCTATTGTAATCTTCTTCCAACCCTCTCTTGTAAAATATTTTACTTCCTCAATAAAAGTTTGCTATTCGTGTTTCAATATGTATGTCCTCAGTTGATTTACTAGTTGTCAAAAGTCAAAAAATGTACTAAATAAGCAAACAATCAATTACCTGCTTCTTCTTATTGGAGATTAAAACAACAAATAGATCTGATCCCTCTACATTTGCTACTCCACTTGTGTAGTGCTTTTTGCAAAGCAAACATACATTCTCCCCACTACAAAAATAATATAAAAACCAACCCAAAAAATCTTGATTAAGGAAATACAAAAAAGGAACAGATGAAGGGTAATTCATGGTTAAGCAATTAAATATGAAATTACAAAATCTTGATTTAGAAATTATTCATTAAACTTAATAAAGTAAATTTATTAAAAAAACTATTTTATTATCTTATAATCAAGCATATTTGGTAACAATACCTCATAAAAAAAAAAAATAATAAAAAAAAAAAATAAATAAATAAATCTTCGCAAAATTCTTGTCAGACCATGCCACATTTGCTGTAGTGTGAATGATGACCAACGGTTCTTTGCCTGCAAAACAGCATGGCCAATTCATGATTGTGTAAAATTTAATAACTGTCTCCAACCCAATCAAAAGCAAATGAAGAATACAAATAGAATATTTAACATGAATGGCAAAACTGTGCAGCCAAATGATTAAGCAATGAGTAACAATAAAATATTACAATGGGTAATCTAGAGTGATAATATAAGAACCTTTAAAAAGTCAGATCAGACTAAGAATGCTTCTTATCTATTACAACTTTTGATGTACACCATGATTTGTGACTTGCCAAAATGATGTACTAGTGATTTGATTTTTTTTTAAAAAAAGATCCACTGCCTTTTAATTTCTACATTAAAGCCAGTAGTAAGTAACCTTGCAGGGAAAGACATGAACATGTGTACTCAAACTCTAAAATATTATAGGACAAATTATATTGTTGGTATTTATATTTTGTTTATTATATTATTTTAGTTTTTACACTTTTAATTTATATAATTTTGACTTTTGATTTTAAATTTTATGTCAATTTGGTCCAAGTAACACTAACAAAATTGAATTTTTACGACTTGCAATACATGCCGTAAAAACTCTTTCACAACATGCACACAAATGCCTTTATATGACATGCCGTGAAAAGTTAAGTATCATTTACGACATACAAGTAAAATTATAAAAAGTAATAAATTAAACATTAATGACAAACTTTGTATGTCGCATATAATTTTTTACGATATTTTTGTTATGTCATAAATCATCATACTTTCCATAGCATAATTTTGCATGCCGTAGAAGATTATTTTTAATATATTTATGACATACTTTGTATGCCGTATATAATATTTTATGATATTTTTTTATATGCCATAAATCATTACACTTTTCACAACATAATTTTGCATGTCGTAAAAAGTTATTTTTAATATATTTATGACATACTTTGTATGTCGTATATAATCTTTTAAGACATTTTCTTACATGCCATAAATCATTACACTTTTCACGACATAATTTTGAATGTCGTAGAAAGTTATTTTTAATATATATACACACACACAAGAACATAACCTTGCCTAACCGTATGCGCCTCCAAACAAAGCAGTATGCACCTCCAACCAAACAAAGACAATACCTTATAAAGTGCGGCAACTTGTGAACAAACCAAGCAGAAATAACTACTATGAATTAAGAAAAAAAAACTAACATCCATCCACCAAATAACCTGCATACTAGCTTCTATCCTCAATTTCTATCATATCAAAGCTAATAACAACCTTACAAACATACAAATCAAGAAAAGTATTCAAATTATGATTCACTAATTTCCAAAATATGACTTTAAATATATAACTCCAGCTACTAATTTCTTGGGAAAAAAAATGCAACCTGCATAAATAAAAGACTAGAAACAAATCAAAGAATATATCATTGATATTTTACATGGTTCAAAAACTTATAGATCACAAAACCAAGTAAAATAAAAAGTTGCATCCTTCAAAGAAAACATGCATTGTTTTAGAAAATTTGAATGGGAAACAAAAAGAGTACAAAAGAAAAGAAAAGCAGATAGATGCATCAGATTCTTAAATACACAAAAAATGAATTTTAGCTTTTGATTTACAACCAAAACTACATCCCAAGAATCAACCTTTGGCACACTTATTCTAAGAGCTAGAAGAAGGAAGACTCCCACTCCCAATCTAGTTCAAAAAATGCCTACAATATATTAGCGACCATCTTGTTACTATCGCGCACAAAAAAAAAAAAAAAAAAAAAACAAGAAACATAAAAGTGTAACGTTAAGTACTCTGGAATAGCCATGGCCAAAACAATATCAATTAAGCACCAACAAGAAACATAACAATGTAACGTACTAAAACCCATGATGGAGCTTTCCAAATCATAGAAGTGCCACTAAGTCGGGAATCTTACGAGTAACATGAACATTGTAATGACCATTAGTCCAAAAAGAAACTAGCACGGATGTGAAAAGTTGGGCAAAAAAACACATTAGATTATATTTTGTAGCAAGATTCCAATATGTGGAAGTTATATATACACAAGAAACCTTGAAACAAAAGAGGTGGGAAAGCTAGAAAGCGATGTTATTCTAAAATAGCCAGCATTATTTAAAATATATATTGGCTCAAGAATCATCTGATACAGTATACAAATTATCAATTGTGAATTTCTTCAATGAAGAAACAAAGAAATAATAGAATAAATTTGTAACCTTTACTTCACGGTAGTGGACAAGAACAATGTTCGAGTGCTCCCTGCAGCAGGTGCCATCCAAATAAGAAGCAAATGAGAATGTGCAGCAAAAGCTCTTCCAAATTAACAACTAAGGAGACAAAAATGGTCAGATTTTCAATAACTTCCATAAATTGATTCAATTTTCAAGGTGTAGTCAATTTATGGAAGTTCATACAAGTTAACATGAGTTTACAGCTATAAACATGGCTGTAATTCCAAAAATTAGATTAGTATGACAAAGAAAATGGGTGAAACTTTAAACCATATTTCATCTTTTTTCCCTCACAGACAAAGGTAATGGGACTTCCAAAGCAGCAAAACTGTTCTAGAAGCAGATATAACTAACGAACCAGATTCTACTCAGCAATTGATGTTTATTCAATGCTAAATAGTATCAGAAGACTGTACTTATGTCTGTGCATGTACAAGAAGCTGCAAGTAGGCATTTACATTTAATCAACCTTTATAGGCTAATACTAATTAACAGATAAACTTCATATTAAAAGCAATTGCCCAGAGGTGGTCCATAATACAGACAGATTTATACATGTGTGTGTGTATATATATATATATAGAGAGAGAGAGAGAGAGAGAAAGCAAAGTGCAAAGATTTGACAAAATAAACACAAACTCCGATAAAAGCAAGGCAAACTTTTAGACACTCACTCTTCAAGCAACCAATAGCTTGAAGAGTATAAACAATGGTCAAGTAAGCTTGAATTAAGAAACTGATTGACATTATCAACCCAATTGATTGCTATAACCCTATTCGTGGGGAGCTTCATACTTCTTTCTGGTAAGTACAGTATGCTTTGCACCTCTGCCTTTGGAGGTGGAAAGATATACCACTCTGATGGTCTTTATTTATCTGTAGTATGCAGTTGTTATTGTGAATTTTTTTCCTTTTCCCTATAATTATGTTCACAAGCTAGTCAAAACCAAACTCCATTTAATTTATGCCTCACTTCAAGGACAATTTTACAGGCTTTGAACTTGTCCGAAAACACATTATTTGGGAGCTGATCCCCAGAAGGTAAATTGATTTGACTAGTACGGTATGGAACTGATCACCAAACCTCCAGGAATTCATTCTTGTTGATCCAAAAAAAAAAAGTAATGATGCATATAAGTTCATCCTTACATATGATGGCGTGCAATCAAGCATTCCTAGTCACGAAGTAGGGGGCTGAGCTCCTTCAGTTTTATTGATTGTGGAGTGGATTTTCTCCAATGGTCACGAACTGCCTCAGCTGCCTTTATATCACCATATAGGGCGCAATTAGTTGTAGAAGAGGCAGGAACATTATACAATATACAAAACTGACCTGACTATGTGAAATCTGCTCATTGCCAGCAACATTTTCTCCAATCAACCGTGATGCTAGTTCAAGAAATTCTGTGTCTTCCAATTCGTCTATGATTTGAGTCTCGGGGCTAGAAAGTGAGACGGAAATTTCTAACCTTTTCTGTAACTCTGAGACTGCAGATTCTTTCATTCCGCTTTCCTGTAGAAGATACAGAGAACAATTTACATATTTTCTTATAAAATGATAAAGTAGTCTGGAAAGATATAATGAAGTCGTCTCAAAATCATGTAAGCAAAATCATCACAAATTAAGTTCCTACATTTCATACATGGGAATGCACTGTAATGGAACTCCTATCCCAGTTTCCTCATTTGGTCGGCCAAACCGACCGCATACCCAATCTCACAAAATATTGGAATGGTCATTCCTCTTCAAGAGGTACGAAATGGATACAAAAATACCCTTACCCTTATGGAATGAGCCTTTAAATAGAATTTCCACCAGCCAATCGAAAACTTGACCAACTCATTGACGCAGTACTAAAAGAACAAAACAAGAACAAATGCAGGGTCCCGTAAACATTTTTACAACATTACCTTGACTACAGTTTGGAGGGCATCATTTGCCATTGCAACATCCTTATTTTCAAAAACATTTCTTTGTGGTGATGCCAGTGACCGTTTTGCAATAGGATCCTCTACATATCAAGAAAAAAATAACAAGTTTTTAGATTTGAAGTAAACTCCACAGGAAACCTCAAAATAAAGTACAATAAAATAAATACATATGCATAAGTACATAACGTCTTGGATTCATATGCTAGTTTTTAGCTTGTCTTTAACCTCTTCTGGAATATCAGGCCATCTCTCTGTGGTTATTAGCACCATCACTCATGCCAAGATCCCTTCTAAAGTCGATAGTTTAACTGACTCAGGTCCCACAGGCTGATTCCTTTCATTGAAGTCAATTTCATCACACTTCTGTTTTCCTTGCATGCATCTTTAACTTTGATGCCCCCCTAGTTTTCTTCTTTGGTACTTGAGTGGAGTCTACAAGTCCTTCCATATCATGTGATTCAACATGTGGAGAAGTAGAACACTCATCTAAAATTCTGAATGATGCATTTCTTCTTTCATCCATTGTCGCAGCAATTATAGCTTCACGCTCCTTTCTAATTCTTTTCTCTGCTTTTTTTGAACTGAGCAGTACACAAGGAAAAATAAGAAATAATGTGGACAACAATTGGTTATAAATTCAATTTTATGTTAAATGAGAAATAAAGTACCTCTCCAGTCATCTTGTTAATTGACAATTTCAAGATTTAAACCTGAGTGTAATATTTAAAGCCACTACAATTCCAACTATGGTTGCAACTGTCACATGAAAGATAAATGTGTTATGCTGAATCATAATTATGTGTGCAAATAAAGAAAACATAATTTCATTCTTGGAGTTCGACCAACTTGTCACATGTATAAAAATCATATAAGTAGCAACCAAGATTATTCAAGTATGATTGATGGCATAATTTGCACCACATGCAAGCAAGATGGCTAAAAAAATCCTTGAATTTGTTATGAATCAGAATTATACACTACTAAAAAAAACACTTTTTGCGACCGTCACATGCCGTCGCAAATAATAAAAATGCAGTCGCAAAAGACTTTTTGCGACGGCCTATGCGACCGCACATGGGGGACGCAAATGTGGGGGTGGCAAATACTTTTTGCGACCGCAAAACAACGGTCGCAAATAATTTGCGACTGCCTAAACTACTTTTTACGACAGCTATTTTGCCGTCGCAAAAAAAAATAAAAAATTAAAAGCACTTTTAGCGACCGTTGTTTTACTGTCGCAAATAATTATTTATTAAAAAAAAAAAATCATATATGAGTTTGCTACAGCAAAAAAAAATCAATTACAACCACCAAACAATTTTTTGTAAATGAAAAATAAAAAAATTAACAAATTAATTAAATTTATAATATCCATTTACCATCCTTAAATACACTGTACTAAAAAATTCAAGTCTTCAAAAAAGAAAAAGAAAAAAAGAGCAACATAATACTTGGCTCTCAACATCAACCGCTTGATCATATCAACTATTCCCTCAACAAAATCTGCAAAAACATATATCAAACTTGACTTGAAAATTTAATGCACTTTAATGTGTTAGTTTAGCTTGAAATAATCAAAATAAAACCATGTCAGTGACCTCTCCCTATGGCAGATTCAATGTGTGTGTTTAGCTTGAAATAATCAAAATAAAACCATGTCAGTGACCTCTCCCTATGGCAGATTCAATGTGTGTGTTTAGCTTGAAATAATCAAAATAAAACCATGTCAGTGACCTCTCCCTATGGCAGATTCAATGTGTGTGTTTAGCTTGAAATAATCAAAATAAAACCATGTCAGTGACCTCTCCCTATGGCAGATTCAATGTGTGTGTTTAGCTTGAAATAATCAAAATAAAACCATGTCAGTGACCTCTCCCTATGGCAGATTCAATGTGTGTGTTTAGCTTGAAATAATCAAAATAAAACCATGTCAGTGACCTCTCCCTATGGCAGATTCAATGTGTGTGTTTAGCTTGAAATAATCAAAATAAAACCATGTCAGTGACCTCTCCCTATGGCAGATTCAATGTGTGTGTTTAGCTTGAAATAATCAAAATAAAACCATGTCAGTGACCTCTCCCTATGGCAGATTCAATGTGTGTGTTTAGCTTGAAATAATCAAAATAAAACCATGTCAGTGACCTCTCCCTATGGCAGATTCAATGTGTGTGTTTAGCTTGAAATAATCAAAATAAAACCATGTCAGTGACCTCTCCCTATGGCAGATTCAATGTGTGTGTTTAGCTTGAAATAATCAAAATAAAACCATGTCAGTGACCTCTCCCTATGGCAGATTCAATGTGTGTGTTTAGCTTGAAATAATCAAAATAAAACCATGTCAGTGACCTCTCCCTATGGCAGATTCAATGTGTGTGTTTAGCTTGAAATAATCAAAATAAAACCATGTCAGTGACCTCTCCCTATGGCAGATTCAATGTGTGTGTTTAGCTTGAAATAATCAAAATAAAACCATGTCAGTGACCTCTCCCTATGGCAGATTCAATGTGTGTGTTTAGCTTGAAATAATCAAAATAAAACCATGTCAGTGACCTCTCCCTATGGCAGATTCAATGTGTGTGTTTAGCTTGAAATAATCAAAATAAAACCATGTCAGTGACCTCTCCCTATGGCAGATTCAATGTGTGTGTTTAGCTTGAAATAATCAAAATAAAACCATGTCAGTGACCTCTCCCTATGGCAGATTCAATGTGTGTGTTTAGCTTGAAATAATCAAAATAAAACCATGTCAGTGACCTCTCCCTATGGCAGATTCAATGTGATTTTTTTATCTTTAAGTTCCCAATAAAAATGAGAGCATATTAGTAATCTTCCAGTACAAAGTTTACTTTATAAAAAAAATGGAAACAGTATCATTATATTATATGTTAGTGTGAAGGATTTTATTTGAGAAGCAATAGGGTTGCCTTCATAAGAAATCCAGCACCAAATGCTTTACGCTCATCATATTCAAAAGGGGTGTTTTGTGGTGCACATAGTGATTGGCCATAGGCATTTTAATATTCCTTAAGAAAACAACAATCTAACTATAATAGACATTTGAGGGACTGAATTATATAAAAAAGTAATTTTATTTCACAATGATGGCACTTCAAAAACTCACATGATTTTGTAGACAAAAAAGATGTGAATCCCTTGAACTTGCATCAAAGGAAATTACCAAGATTCCTGATCATTACCTGCAAAACCATGTTGGAGAAGAAAAAAAATCATTTAATTATTCTATTATTTTAATCAAGCAACTAAACTCATTTAGCATAATCTATGACTATAAGTTAGGTGAAAGGCACCAAATGACCCATTACCGCCGAGGACCCAACTCAACATTAAAGGCATTGCAAGGTCAATAAAAAAGCTCCCTCCAACTCTTCCTGGATGTGGTATCCTAAACTTTGTCAAAAACTGTAAAACATAATATAGGCTGTAATGAAATGCATGCAGAACTCCACGGAAAGCTCGAGTTTATTTTAAGTAGACAACAACATGTGCTTATCACACTCCTACCGATAATGGGCCAAGGCCTACACCCAAATATGCCTTGTAAGTTGAGGCCATGATCGCAGCCATTCGTGCCAGTCCATGGATAACAGCAACCCGTAGCCTTCTTGCATCCTCAAAGCTGGGGAAATTTAAAAATTAAAAAAAAAAGAAAAAAAAAAGAAGAAGAAGAAGAAGATAGTTAGTCACCAAGATAGTATTTTGATCTATGAAGCTCCTTGTCAGCCAAAGTAATGACACAGACATTTGATATTGGTTAAAGTTATTACCATTTACAACCTTACAAAATGAAAAATTTGGAACACTCCTTGTACTGTATTAAAACTAGATATTTTACACAAGACATGTCATTCACATGGTCACACAACCTCTCATTGAAAGACTCATAAAATGGTTCAATCCTTCCCCTTACATGCATGAATGTGCTTTGGCATTTTAAGAGGAGTATACTTTTTAAAGTTTGATTTCATTTGTAAGGTTATTATATTCTGGGGTGAATGCTCATATGAATCAAATTTTACTTGGATTTTTTGACAAGGAAAAATTGCATTTACCTTCTTAGAGAAGAGACAACATCTATAGGACTTCCTGACTCAATGAGTCACTGCCAAGCCTTATCAAGCTCCATTGCCAAAAATCATCTCCAAAAAATTGTTAACATACATCACCGCCCCAATATCAGCATAGATTGTAATTTTATATTTGCAAACATCATGATGTTTCTTTCAAAAACAATTTTCAAAACAAGCTTTTATGTTTAAAAACACTTCCTAACAGTTGCAGGTGGTTTCATTGGCATTTTTTTTCTTGGTTTATTGCCCTTACATGGTGGCAGTAGAATTGAATAAATTTATTATTCATATTCTGTCAGTGTATAAAATAAAATAAATTTAGATGAGCTTATGTAGCATAGTCTGCAACATTGTTGACAGGACTGGTTGTTAGTAATGGCTTCCTCAGAGTTTCCATAATATGAATCCCTATGCAGTTTATCAAACAGTAAAGCATTTCTACCCAGCAACAATGAACTTTGTTCTAAATATGGATTCAATTCAATCAGAAATCCTTAAAAATTATAAATTAAAAAAAAAAGCAGACCAAAATTTCCAAGGAGCACATTGCAAAATTGTATATATATATATATATATAGAGAGAGAGAGAGTACGAAGAGCAGAGAGGAGAGCAAGATTACAGAGAGAGACAGACAGTTGAATCGATTAATGTTTCAATTTACACATTACAAATTAATCAATGAAGATGTGTCAAACATTACAGAGAGTAAGATTCGAGCAATGAAGATGAATCGATAAAGATGTGTCAAACATTACAGAGAGAGACAAAGAGAAGTGTTTAGGCTTACCGATTATGAATCTCAATTCTGAATCGATCGAAATCTTCATCAACAGCAGATTGAAATCTTCAAATCTTCATCAACAATCGATCAAAATCTTCAAATCTTCATCAAAGTGAGAGTCGAACGAGAGAAACAGTCAGATTCGAGCGAGAGAGTCGAGCAAGAGACATATTTTGAGAGAGAGGGAGAGTTCAGATTTGGGAAATAAGGAAAAAAAAAGAGGGACAGGTCAAGTTTTTCATGATTTGGGGGTTTTTTATTTTTTATTTTTAAGAACACGATTGAGTCCAATTAAAAAGAGATTTTGACGTGAAAAGTGATTTTTTGCCACCGCAAAACAAACGGTCGCAAAAAAATAGACGCAGAAAGTGATATTTCTAGTAGTGATATATCTAGTGAGTAAGGTCTTATTGCTAAAGAGATCACAGAGCCAAAACAGTACCAATTCCATTTTTCGCAGATGTGGCCAGTAACAGGAAAGCAGGAAATATAAGCAACATTATGTACTAATTAATAAAATGTACCGATTCAAAAAGTAGATACAAGGTTTCTTGTAATTAATAAATAAAATAAAATGAAATGAAGAAAAATAATTAAATCCTGAGATCAGCAAATTTAGTTTTACTTTTTTCGAGCAGAAATGAATTATGTTTTTCAATCACATGATCTACACTATGAAAGAACTGTCCAAGTACAAAAAAGCTAGTGGGTTTTTCTGAGTATTGCCAACAACTAGATACAAGCGAGGCAAACATGAAAACAGTGAAAGGACAGTAAAATGGGTAGTTTCTCAGGCCTAAGGCTATTCAACAGTCCAAGAAGCAGACCAGCAACTCTGTGCTAGTTACATAAATAATATAAATTAAAAATGGGAAGACAATAATGTAAATTTTGTAATTAATTAAGCTACCTAGTACTGATGGTATACATTAAAAATGTTTCCTGTTTTTAAGAAAGATTCTCATAAAAAAGCACAAAACTACACCTTCATATCTATTATTTCCTGCAAACATGAAATTCACGCACATTATTGTCCTATAGTACTGTTGATCATCCCAACCTGTTAGTGATAAATTGAATAGTCTATCGTTTACAATCAAGAATGATTAATACTCGGTCAAGCAATACAAGTAACAAGGAGTTTGATTTTGTACTCTACGCTCTAAGTAAAAACTATCTCATCTCTCTCCATTTCATGAACGCACAACTGAAGCATGGATACTCAACTTTTGTTGTTCCATTCTCTCTCTTTAATGATACAGATTGCAGGAATACCCCAAGTGCATTTACAAAGCCATTCATCTCAGCTTCCCTTCACAAGAATAATATAGTTTAAATGATCGTTGTTCCTATTTATTGCTGACACTTAACATTAAAATTTCATCATTTGTTATTGATAATAACATTTTCTATTAGATTGTTGATCACTAATATATTGCTATATTAGATCATTTGGTCATTTTTTTTTATTTATCAAAATGTGTTTATATGTTGATATCATATGATGTTCTTGATCTTTAACAATTCTAGCTTAGATTCTCCACATACGTTATCATTACAGACCTGCCTCTAGCTACTTTCAAACTTCCCTATAGTATAACCTGGGCCAGTGAATGAGGCAATAATTTGTAGATAATTTTATTCATAAACTTAACTGAAAAGAGAGCAAAAGACATTAAATTAACTAGCAGCCTGAATATTGTTCATTTTACTCGCGAAGAAAAGAAAATTATCTACAACAAGATTCCACGTGCTAAAACTACAACAAAAAAAAAATGACCTCTATTTATTGTGCAACCATCAAGAGATCCATAGGACACTAGCAGTCAATATATACCCTGTTATTGTTGGGTTCCTTTCCTAACAACTTAATATTTTGGAATTAGTGATGCTATAATATGGTATATGAGCTCAGGGTAGTAGATGTCTTGGGTGTATATATCTTCGTTTACATTTGTTTCCCCATTTCAATTATGTTTCTGTGCATGTTTGAATGTTTTCATCTCCACATGCAAGACAATATCGTACATGAAGGAGGGTGTTGAAGAGCTTGATATGCATTGTTTGACCCCTTTCCTAACCTGACATGATGAATGGCACCAAGCCTATAAAATATCCCCACAATAACAGGAAACAAAAGAAGAATAGAACTGATCACTACAGACGCTAAATCTTTATTTCTATCATCCCATTTATAAAACTGATTGCAGCACTTCATTTTCAACCCAACAGAATGTAAAAGTGGAAAAATAAATAGAAGATAAAATACATATTGAATATTGAGAAAAACAAAAAATCAATATAGTTAAATTTAAAAACCACAGACTAGGTAACCAAAAAGTCAAAATTCCTTAAGAAGCAAATTTGAGTCTCAAACTCTTACGGGAGGTCATAGTGTGGCCACCTGCTGCCCGTGTACATAGGGCCCTCCCATATCACACAGAATGTCAAACTAATTTTAGAGATCCCCTGAATCTTTACTCAATACTATTACTAGGACAAGCAGAACGCTATAAACCCCAACATGTAGGAGTTCATTGCTTCCTAAAAACTTCACTATAAATTGTTGTATCTTTCATGAATAAAATTTATAATCCAAATACATGCAACCCTTTGGTTTTTTTTGAGTAGGTAAGTCATAAATTAAAGACAAAGTTTACACGTTTACAAGGGACATATCCCAAGTAATACAACAAATCCGCATCCCCCTCAAAAGGGGGAGGACTAATACAAATAACTGATTAAAACTAAAATAAAACCAAAATAAATATAAAATTGCCCAATTATCAATTGGTCCCCAAGTACTTCCTATCATCGAATGGATAATAGATGAATACTTGGAAAAGATATATGAACAATTTATACAAAAAGAAATTCAAATAAAACAATTAAACACGTCACAGCACTCCATGACTAAAACAATCAAATTGACAACAAAATAAACCACGGCTGATCAAACAAATTTTAAGTGGCTGGACCCGCCAAAAAAGAAACGTGGGTCAACCACAACCTTTTAACCAAGCTCCATGTGGGGACTAGGAACACCCACCTCAAGTCAAAATCATAATTTTAAAAGAAAATGACTTGTAACTTAAATTTTATGGTTTAAAAGTGGTTCAAATGACCAAAACGATGTCGTTTTGACCATTTTTATGTTGTTCTGTACTCAAAACGACGTCGTTTTGACCATTACCATTTGAACGATTTTTGAGCCACAAAATTTAAAATTCGTAGCATTGTTGAATTTTAAAACCAAATCCTGGTTTTAAAACAAAACGGTGGGCCAGATTTTACCCACGTAAGGTTGGAAAAAGTGAAGCATGCATAAAAGAAGGCAAGTACAAATGAGGAAGCAACACTTGAATACCTCTGTTAAAGAATACACTTGTAGAAATAAAGTACCGAGGTTATGTTAGTCCGAGGTGTCTACCCAATGATAATTCCGAAGTGATGCTTATTCGAGGTGTACTACCCCGAAGTGATTTTCAGGATATATTTGAAAAAAGTTGAAAAAATTCCAAAGTATGGGGAAGCATGCAGGCAGTAAGCAGAAGAAAGCATTCAATATACTCAGAAAAATACAAACATGCATTAAAAGAAGCACTTCAACCTGGTAAAGTGATTTCTTGTTCAAATACAAAGGCAGTGGCGCATCGGCGAACAACAGACATTGTTCAGAAGCAAAGAAGTTACATATGCAAAGACAACAAAAGTACAAGAATGAAGACCCTA